GTCTCTGGGTACTTAACCTTGAGCTTGACTGAAACCGTAGCATGTTATGTACTTAAATTAAAAGAATGAACGGCTACTCTGAATCCTTCACTGAAAAATATAAACAAAAAAAACATATGCAACAATCAATCCTAGCAGAAAGCAGGACTTGCTAATGAGTCTAAAAATGTCCATTAGCACCTACCACAGAAGGGAAAATCCAAAAAGAAAGAAATTCTAATCCATTATCATACACAAGTTTTTGGGGATTTAAATCATGAACGCTATGACCTTTTTGTTTACAGCAAGACATTTGGAGTGGTATACTTTGAGTCTTAAAAGGCATGACTCCATATCTCTCCTGGGAAACAAAATGCAGCATGACTTTCAGAGGTGTTTTAATGGGACTGACAATTAACAGGCTCATTTATAATGCTTGATTCTTTTTTGGCAATTATTTTTCAAGTCAAGCAGCTGAGGATTTTGAAACAGTTCAGAGAATGCCCAAATCATTTTATTGTTCATCTTCTGTGCCTTAATTAAAGTTTTACGCAGAATCTTGCAAAAATGTGTTCACTTGCTTTTCATTTTTAGAAGTTTAATTTAAGATGCACTGTGCACAGAAAAATACTGAAAATGCTGGACACATATTGTGAAAATACCAAGGCCTGCTGTCAATTTACTTGGAATATATCGAATTAAATGAAGTGAAGGAAGCAATTACTTATTAGGGTTCTTACTTATTAAGAATGGTCTATGTTCATTCTTAAATTCAGAAATATGGTCTGTAAATACACTGTGGATTAAACACAGACACACATTGACATGCAAATATCTTGTGGGTGTTTTGTGTTACAATAAAATCATTCCACATTTCTTTCCTTCTTTGGATCTTGTATGTGTGTGTGGGGGGGTGAAACCTAATGAGTTAATTTCTATTTCTCTACTTATCTGCAATGTCAAACCATTTTTACAATTTTTGAATGACAGGGATGGCATTTTTATTGAAGATCTAATCAGTAGTAAAGTACTATAATGGCTGCACCAATTCAGAGAAGGCATTTTTAAATGATTTGAAGGTGTATGCTAACCCTGATGTGATTTAAAAATGATTATAAGTTTTAATCCAGAAACTTGCTATAATAATTATATCCTGCTTGTAGAATACAGTGTTTTAAAACTCAAACTCCAGCCATCTAAAGTATGCATTAGAGCAAAAATCCAATTTACTGTACAAAGGGGAAAATATTTCAATGGGAAATAGCATCGTAGGGATTGCATTAACATGTAACGCTCATTTGCGTTCTGCACATACCTGCTGATTTGGGATGAAAAACATAAAGGCCTCCTACTTACTTTGTACCAGTGCAAACCACACGGAGCCACTCTGCTGGTTGAGAGCCTGTTCTGGGATTACAGTACTCCTGGCTCCTCGATTCTCCCTTCAAAAATATCACTTCTACATTACAGATTGTTACAGGCTGCAAAGGCTTTTATCCTGCAATAAACACCCTGCAGGGCTGAACGATGGCCTCCTACATCAGCACCATTAATTTAAATTAACCTGTAGCCTCACGCTGACAAAGGCTGTGGCTCACAGAGCTGTTCATTCCCACTGAAAGCAGCACTGATACACATTACATGAAACACCATCTCAGAACATTCAGTTTCTGGTAATACCTGAGTGTTTACTCAGTGTGTCCAACGAAACCATGGGAACAAACCGATCTTATAAAACTATATGAATAGTTTATGAGTATAATACAAATAATTGTGGAGCATACAGTTATTCTGTTAAATACAATAACACTATTCACAGTTTGTCTTTTTATCCATTTAAGAATGCATGTTTGATTACTGCAACACAAAGATAAGCAATATGATTCACCAAAGCCTTAAAAGTCTTTGTCACAATAGGCCTTTAGGAATCTAAGCTGGCCCATGCACTGGACAGATAATACAACTGAGAATAATCCCTGCTGAATTCTAAAGTATCTTTTAAATTCCTGGCATCAGATTACTTCCAATACATGTAGAAGGATTTTCACAGTAAGCAGACATTACTCTAGGATACAGTTTTAAGTAAAAACAGAATGTCAGTTGTTCAACATAACTGGAAAATGTGCTGTTAGCATAGCGACAGCCTTAAAATGAATATGTACTTAAGATTCAGAACAAATTGTTAGTGTCGTGTCATATTCCATTTCAACTGAATTTAAAACATATTCTAGAAGACATTCCAATAGATGTACAGTGTACCTACTATATATCCAAGGGAAACACTGTGACAAGCAGTAATGAGAAGTTCTGATGATGTTTTGTAGTCCATACATACTGTGTGAAAAGGACTGAATGGCTGAAACCTGAAAGAAAGGCAACCTTATACAATTTATGATGCATATATTACAAAATTGCTTTTCTGTATGCAAGGGATTAACAAAGTTAGATAGCAAAAACAATACTCTTTGAGCACAGTGATTCACACTTAGAGGACTGATTGTTTTTTCTTCTGTTTAAACTAAAACACAATTGAGTCAATTAGTCTTTATTAGTCTGGTCTTCAACATCATTCTCCTCCAGAAAACAAGCACACCCATCCACAAGCAATGATCATGCACACTACTTGGCCCTGTTGTTATCTGCGCATGAAGAGCAATGCTGAGTGATCATGACTGACCTTTGCTGGTTGACCCAGTGCTGACAGAAAGTCTATATCATTACCCACTTTCTTATTATATCTGGGGGTAACATATAAAGATTGCAAATCATGATTACACCTTTCTGTCAATGTATGATGTGACAAGAAAAGTGGATGTAATGGATTTTTCCCCTCACACATTTCTTTTTAAGCTTTTATTCAACCAGATATTTCTTCCTCCTATATTTTCCATCTAAGTCTACCTCTGCTTATATAACATAGCAGACAGCACAAACCAACATCTTGGGTAAGAGACCTGCCATGTTGATTTGAATGCTCTTGAGAGATGAGAGAAGGGTCACGTCATATCAAGTGGCAGCTCATTATTAGATATCCATATCAGAGCCCCTGCACAACTGCAAACATGCATTTGCAGACATGCAGTCAAACCCCAGTTTTAAATTGCTGTTAAAGGCACAGCTTTGAGTGCCCAGACACAAAATCCAAAAATGTACCAACCTGCTGCGCAGAAAGACTTTCATTAAAATTTTGACTTCAGTGCACTTAAGACACTAGGGGGATGATCTCACCTTAACAGGAAGTATGAGCTCATGAACTGGGCTTTAGAGATTTAACAAGATCAGGCATCAGGAAAGCATAGCTGCTGGTAATACCTGAATGTTTGCTTTCTAGTGTATTTTTCCTTTAGAAGTTAGTACTGATCTGATTCCTTGTAATATTAACCTGAGCTTGTGAAGATACTGGACACAGAGATTACCAAGGTATGATAGTATGTAATCTCTGCAATTTTTGGACATCCAGCAAAGTGATTTAAGGTTCATGGATTTCATTCAGCAACTATTTCAATTTGGATAAGCATTTTGCTTCTATCCAAAAATACACTGATATATTACTTCTCTCCTACTGTACTTGCAAAAAAGCAAAATTATCTCATTATCTGTCTCTATTAGCCCAAGGGAGCCTGTTTTTGATAACAATATACTGTACATATGGCATTTTGCAATCTGGGACTTATTGAAAGAACTTAAAAAGCAACAGTTCTTTCAGTCATCTGAAGTTTGCCATTCCTTCTCCTGTTCTAAGAGTTATGTGTTGTGTTTAGCATCTTGAAATTGGTGCTATCCTTCAATGTCACACATTGCATTTCTCTAAGAAAGCCCGCAGGAGGAAATAGCTTCTCGACACCACTAACTCTGCACAATATTTTTTTCACAGCATAGCCTTTGTTTTAGCCAAACAGCAAATGATAACAGACTGGAAACACTAACCCACATATGTTTGTGGAAAGGGTTCTGATCTTCATTAAAAATAAATTGGTTTAAAGGTATCAAAGTCTCTTCCACAGTACTTACCATTCTCTGTAATTAACTACTAATCCCTGTTTTCAAATAATAGATTACACTGAGAACTATTCACAACTTCTCACCTTTACTGACTTTTTTCCCAAGTTTTTATAAACTGATAGAAAAACAATTCCAATAAAATGAACTGGCAGTTATTTTCCTTCATATTGCGGCACAGATTTTCAAAGCACACTCCTTTAGTTTGCTCAAATCAACCCGCCTGCTTGTGGAAAACAACGATTGCAGTTACCATTCAATTCTTGGATAACAATAGTCCAATACTTGAGGGGTTCCTTTCCATTCCTTCAGTGACTCAAAAAACCTAGAAATATTTCTGATTTACTAGTTTTCACTGGCATACTTACACACTACCTACAGTATAGTTTAACCCCTAAGACATACTGTCAGGAGCAAATGTCTGCACACTCTAGATAACCCATAAGTAAAGTGCATACAATATAGATCAAAACAATCTGTTTTCCATTCATTTAAATGTTAGTACAAATAAAACACACAAACTCTAACTCTAATACAAACTCGAGGTACAGTAAACCATGGCTTAATTTTCTTAAGCTTCACTCAAACAAGAACACTAAATAAACAACATGCTATAGAATTCCAAAGTTAAAGAAAGCAACTTAAAGTAATAGGTTTTCAGGCTAAAATATGACCGGCACTCACACTAATCCTAAAAAGCATAATAACGGTGTAGCACTTTAAAAAGTAAAATCTGAGGGCAATGATAAAGCTAGTCCTAGCTAGTATGCAGCATATCAGGAAACTGTTCAAGGAGGTAGTTGCGACAGCATGTGTAGGCTGCAAAGGAACAGGGTAAAGGTTTATTCCATGGTGAAAGAAAAAGAAAAGAGACACAAAATCTCAGCTGTGAAGGCTCCACACACCTGTAGAAGGCACCACAGCAGAAACATTGAGTATCTTTCCTTTCCTTTCCTCCATATAAAGAAACACCCACCACAAGAGTTTTCCAACCAATAAGAGCATGAAAACCTTGAACTCACGTTGGCAGATGTCGTTTCGTTCTTCAAAGCCAGGGTTGCAGACACAGCGACCAATTGGTACCAGCCAGCCTCCATCGGCACTGCAGTACATTTTCGGTGTGTCAAACTCCTGCGAGTTGTTGACACAGGTGCCCCGCACCTCGACCAAGGCCGAATCGCCACCAGTGACAGTGTCGGGAAACTCCGCCAGGTTGAGCACGGTGACGGGGCATTTCTTGTAGTAAACCCGGACTGAAACCAGGGCGATGCAAGCCCCCACATCCTGGAAGGCCAGGTAGAAACCCTTCTTGCTCAGGTTGCTTATATCTCGGACTTCTGTGTTCAGCTTCATCACCCGATCCCCAACGTCCACCTGGGTGAAGCTCTCATCCGCCGCGATGGTGTCAATCTTGATGTACTGACTCTCCTTGATGAACCACAGGTTGCTGTTGTTGGACTCGTAGTAGTACATGTTGAAGGTCTCCTTGCAGGTGCCCGGCACTCCTGGCAGGCTGTTGCAGTCACGCAGAGTGAACTTGATCTCAATGTAGACGCGCTGGGCACCATCGCGGGGTATGTGACTGGTACGTAGCCAGTTGTTCTGGTTGGCCTCCATCACGTTGCACACCTGGTAGGTCCTCATGGGAGTGTTCCTCTCATCCATCACACTGATCTCTTCCCACTGTCAGGGGAAACACAGGTGTTAGTTGGCAGAAAGCTTTAAATAGACAAATCTAGCATACTGCACAAATGGGGAAAGAACTGACTGCTGGAAAGAAATAGCACCCTTGTTTTCTACTCTCATTGAAACTTCACCTGTGACTGTGTAGTAACATTGATTTTTTTATCATTACGGCATGACTGAATATATTATTAACGGTAGCAATAGAAGTAATTAATAAAAATAAGCATTACGGGAATCCTGTACAGTTGTAATGTTTTTACCTCACATTGGACAGACAGGAGTAGAGCATGTCTGATGTATCAGTAATGCCAAACTTTGTGTGTGGTATGAAGTTGGAGAGCATCCCTTATCCAGATACTTTCCCCCATCTGTTTTCACTTCTGTGCTTTTCTTTAATTGACAACACTTTCCACACACAGAATAAATCCTCCTATATGTAAAAACGTAATCTGTTAATGATTTATTTATAATTACTTTAATATTTCTAATTCCAAAAAGCTGCATCGGGCAACATAAAGAGTACAGCTTCTTGGCATGAATTTGATTTAGAGTGGAAAATTATGGCAGACCACCTTGAAAGCTCAGAGAAAATGTGCTTCCAAGCTTGTCACAAACTTCTGAACAATAAGCACATATCCTGTTGCATATAAAATGATCAACAGTCAATTTCTTTTTTCTTCCATTTATCATAATAAACATTGCTGTGCAGTGCAATTACATTTTGGCAAACTAACTTCACTTTCAGGACCTGACATTAATAAATCTAGACAGGTGCATAATGTATGTACAGTACAATGCAAGGGTGACTAATCTTGACAGAAACCCTACTTGACTTAAAAATAACCTTCCAGGATTTTAATGCATTACGTTAAGTGTTCTTAACTCATTTTCTATGTAGACTTGAATGTTTCATTTATTAATATGCTATTGACATAAGCCAGGAACAGCAGGGCTGCCTGCTGTCAACCTGTTCAATTTTGGAGTTGTAGGGGTTATGATTTTCTTCTGTATATGTTTATTCAACTTTTATGTAGGAAGTTTGAGTTGGTTTGTATTACACATACTTTGCTTGGAGTTCTTACAAACCTGAGAATAATTTGTCTTTATTGTCACAAATGAAGAAAATGTAATGAGAACACTTTGTTCAAATAAATACTCCTCTAAATGAGATAGAAGATTTATGCTGGCCTCTACTGACATTTAATTTTGCTTTATTAAGAAAATAAATAGTAATAATAATAATTTAATAATTGCTTACACTTATATTGCATTTTTCTGGACACTCCACTCAAAGCACTTCACAGGTAATGGGGACTCCCCTCCATCACCACCAGTGTGCAGTTCCACCTGGATGATGCGACAGCCATAGCCATAGAGCAGGCATAGTGTGCCAGAACGCTCCCCACACACCAGCTCTCCATGGGGAGGAGAACAGAGTGATGGAGCCAATTCATAGATGGGGATTATTAGGAGGCCATGATTGGTTAAGGCCAATGGGAAATTTGCAGAGGACACCCCTACTCTTTTCAAGAAACGCCCTGGGATTTTCAATGACCACAGAGAGTCAGGATCTCAGTTTTACTCCTCATCCAGGGGACGGCACCTTTTTACAGTATTGTGTCCCCGTCACTATACTGGGGAATAAGGACCCACACAAACTGAGAATGAGCACCTCCTACTGGCCCCTCTAATACCTCTTTCAGCAGCAACCTTAGTTTGTCCCAGGAGGTCTCCCATGCAGGTACTGACCAGGCAGTGGGCTGCCGGTTGTGAGTTACAGGGTGAATGGCTGCTGACACAATGAAAACATTAGACCACAAACGTGTCATGGAAAGTCCCAAAGTGGCTCTGTAAACTTGCAGAGCTTTCTTATCCAGGGATTCACTAGGCTTCCCAAGCAGCATGCACACAACTGGCAGAGCTCTGTCAAGGTACTGTAGGTTGGGCTCAGTCAGCCAGGGTCATCTTATCTTTTCAACAAACAGCAACTCCTGTGATGTGCTGGGCACCTGCTCATGTGCATCGAGAGATGCAGCTCTATCCCACTCAGTACTAACCCTCCTATTTGCAGTGTCAAATAAAACTAGATCTACAGGTGGCCATGTCAAAGGGCCTAGTCTGTGCTTCTTCATTCTCTCGCAGGTGGAATGGGTGTCTGTGCCAAAGAACTATGTTTTGAAAGCAACTGACTATTAATTGGATGGGTATTGAATTTGCTACCCATGTTCGTTTGTGTTATTTTCAAAGTTAAAAAAAATATATTTTTTAGATTTTGAGGAAAAGGCAGGCAAGTTAGATTTCATGTGGGTCTTACAAAATGAGGTGTTTTGGTATTTGCCTTTAATAAACAACAGGCTGTACTTCTGTCAGGGCCTTCAGATACAGATATGGGGCAAATATTCATCTGGAAAAGCTTAACAAGTTTCTATCTTTGTTTCTAACTTGGGGGTAGTCAAGCTTGATCTTCAATTAGGATCCCAGCTGGGGATCAGTCAAAACATTTCATCCACAGAACCTTACTCGGTACCATAATCACATTTCAGACGCCTGATTGCTTTGAAGCCAGGAAAACATGTTGGATCAAGGGTTCAGTCAAACACTTTACTGCTTTCACTTCATTTCACTTTGCAATCATCCAGTAGTTAAAGATACTTAAGCATAATTGGTTTTAAACTCCCAAGAAAGTCTGCTTTTGAGAAAAGCCATTCCCTCCTGAAACATACATAACTTTCATTTTCTTTTTCCATCCTGAAAATATTAGATCATTTAAAAACTGGACATTTGAAGATCATCCACATCTGGTACTGGACCAATGTATTTGACTTGCTCTGTGGGTCAAGTGGCAGATGACTGACTCACTAAGACAAATATCCACCGGAAATGACTGGGGGGCTCTGAGAATGTACTCCTTAACTCTTTAATTCCTACAGCAATTAAGCTGTCTCCAAATCTGGTGTCTAGGGTGAACATTATAATCCTCACATATGAAATGCTTGACTCTGGTATGTCAACCTAGCTGTGATTTCTGTGTTTTGTGCCTTTTGGGCTTTTCAAAACAAAGCAAAATCTATGTTCAAAACCAATGCTCTAAATGCAGCGTCTCAAATAATTTCCAACTACAAGAAAAAACTGTTTGTGCATCAAATGTAACATTTTTAAATTTAACTTGCCATGATAGAGGAGTCTGCATTACGCATCATGATCTCTGCAGGCTTTTCTTTGTCAAATTTGCCTCACACTAACAAAAGGCACATTTCTAAATAGAAGTACCCTGGGTGTTTATATACTTGAAACTAAAAAATCATTTCTGAATAACCTCTCCCAGACCCCTGCTGAAATAAAGATCTGCAGCTTAGGCACAGCTCAGCATTCCACTGAAAATTGCCAGGTCCAGTCCATCCCTTAGCTGAATGTACATTCAACAGAAACATGACATGAAGAAAAATGGGTCTGTTTTTCATACAATGGGCAAGTTAGCATCACTCCAGGTATTAACTGGTAATATGTTAAGCCTCTCCTATGAGGGCAAGATGCTACAGTCAAAACCCCTAAAGAAATCTCACTTGACACATCTTTTTTCCATCAAAAAGAATCTCCCTAATGCCTAGACTGTTTCTGGTATCAACCTGCAGCAGCGATTTAAGCAATAAAAAGTTTACCTACATCAACCTATCCTACATTTCCAGTCATTTCCAGTTAACATATGCGTACAGTACCTTTTCAGGTTTTAACTTACATTAAAATACAGTATCCATAAACTAAAGACATGACAGGGAATTCCTTTTTGAAAAATGACCTCCAACTTAAATCTTAATGCACCACATCAGATCAGGTTGTTTCTGATAAAATAAGCTTTACTGCAGCTACTGTATAGTATACAGCAAGAAACGTCTGAAACTGATCTAATTGGTTCCTTGGATGTATTTAATGGGTTTTTCTTAAACCAAAACAATTGATTTTTTTACAAAGCTCAGCATCAGTTTAAATAACTTGATTATTTTAAGCCATATGGGTGACTCATAAAAAGATTAAGCTCCTTTTTTTCTTTTTCAACAGCCTTTTGCTGTTAAAACCCCATACTGAGTCTGTGCTATGAATCTGCAAGAGTCAATACACTCCACTTCAGCTGTAAAGAGGTGTATGTGTAATTTATTTATCACGTAAGCCTAATTGAGCAGCGTTTAGCCAGTTACAGCTTTGCCAAGTTGCTTACTTACTGCACCTTAGTTAGCTGCACATAAAAAGCTGTACATTTATATATATTCTTCATACTAAAGAATCACAAAGCAGTGTTATGTCTTCTGTCCTTATCTCTAGAATCATAAGCAATGGCATCCAATTACATTATCTAGCACAGCAGTCCCAATGCTTTTTCCAAAGTGGTGTGACCACTCAGATATGTCAGAGTATTCTTCATAGAGCACTAGCAGTAACAACTGTGATACTTATTACACCACAATTAATTAAAGCCTGCTGCAGCTCCAAACAATGGCGCCACTAATGGACTCTTAGAATGTGAGCTTTGGAAACTGTAACTTTTACCTATAACTTTTACTTAGCGGAAAAAACTACAGACATAATGCTAGGTTGAGCAAAGCTTGCAGGTAGCTAAAAGAAGTGGAATTCAATGTGTACACTGAAGAAAACATTAACAGATGATGCATAAGGACCTGCTTTTCCTGACATTATTCTACATTTTATGATTCTAGCATGAGGTCCAAAAGCAGGACCATGCGCAATCACCACAACGCACACAGGCTTATACAAATCATATACTTTAAGACACTCACCCCCTCTGCCGGATAGGCCTCCCAGCCCAGATCTCCTAGTGCCGACATGGAGTCCAGCAAAGTAACTGCAACCAGAAAAGGCAGAACAGCAGCAATGTGACAAACAGTATAACTCACACCATCATGCTTTAGGGCTCTGGAAAAATGTGTTATCGACATTCGACACTGCCTTTATCTGGAGAATTGGGTACACAGAGTCACAGAGTTTCAGCTTTTATATGAAACTGTTTTTTAATTGAAGTTTATCTGAAACAGGACTCCCCCACACCCATTCCAACTGACCCCAGCCTTTGGGGCTTATGCATCTTCAATTAGTGGCCAAGGATTACATTAACCAAGTAATGAGTTAAATTATGTAACTGGCAGTTCATTTTAAATGAGCTCCCGAAGTGTTTCTGTAGGGCTAGGGGAAAACATCCTTGACTTGAAGGTTTTATACTAAATGTGATTAGTCATCTATATTTGCAAACATTCACACAAGATCATTCCAAATATTAATCTAGACAGATGTGTGACCTATAATATAAAGAATTTTATATTAGTGTTGGCTATCTGGGGTTTACCTAGGAATTATAAGTATTACCCATATTAATAAAATGGATATCAAGATGTTTTTTTTTTTGTGAGAGCTTGTGAAAAAAGAAAATTAAATTTTTGTAGCAAAAAATCAACAGCAGCACCCAAGTATCCCCAAGTCACTCAAGACACAAAAGGTTAAAAGGGGGGCTAAATGGCAAGTTAAAATCTAAAGCTAGTTTTCCCCAGGTCTCTGAACTGTACTTCCCACTTTGAGGTCTATTCCAAAGCAATTAAGCTTCTGCACCACGAGTGATTAATTTTTAATTACATCCAATCTGCAGATGTTCAGTTTAAAGACTCAGAGCCATCTCCTTATATGATTCTGAAGCACAGGCCAGGACAATACAAAATACAAAATTGAAATATTTATTTTTTGGCTTTAAATCCATGGCATTTCTAACAAAAAACAACCTTTTCTGTATTATTAATTTGTTTATGTGTTATGTCTGAGACTTATTTCACTGTCCAAAAAGGATTAAATCCAAAACAGAAAATGCTGGGTTTGAAAGGGAAATCTACTATATTCAATAAAAATATGTTTAGTTCCTACTAACTGTATCAAAAAGTTACCATTTGTATAAAATAAGCATTAAATATTTGTTTAGGCTCAAACATTCATGAGTATACCACAAGAGCACAATGAGCAAATCTGAATCTGTTGCTTTTATTAATTGTAGATGGACAACATTAAATACTGATATCTGTCAAAGAAGGCTTTAATTTTTCGGAGGATGTCACAATATTTACATTTAAAAACCCAGCTGCCATTTTTAATAACAGTCTGCTGACATGACGCACAATGCAACCACAGACTAAGGTGTCTCACGGTTTGCAGGTCTGTTGCAACAAAAATACACCAACAACCCCCCTCCCCTCATCATCACCCCACTCAGTAATCACTGTAAAAGCTGGAAAATTAAGAAACGATCATGCCATCAGTTGAGAACCCCCCCCCCCAGTCCAGGTACAGTCAGCATGTATGAGAGGCCTGAGTGGCTCCTGAAAGAGTCTTGATGAGATAAAGCAGGGAACTGCAGAAGCACATGGCCAAGGCAGCTGCTGAAACAGAAGGTGAAGAGACCTCTTGGGGAAAGGGGGGATTGTTGTTATGCTCCTGTTTCAAAGCTCCAGAAATGCCAGGCTTCATCTCATTGGGAAAAGGGAATAGTTAAAGCCACATTAAAAAGGGCACCGTCTCACGTGAACAAATGTGAACCGAGTGATTTCTTCTTTTTTTAATATATTCTAACCAAAACAAATGAAGCTTAGTCTGCACCTGTATGTGTAAAGGAAAGCCATTTAATAATGTTTAACCAAATAAGCTGCAACTAACGTGGTCGAACCTCACCCTATTCAATACCACATGGCCATGGTTACAATGCTGATATCTTGACATTTATAGCACGTTTCCCACTTTGCACCAGCACTACTAAGGTCAACAGTCATTTCTCTAAAAACAGAACACCTCTTTTACAACTGTTTAAAGAATCTTTATGCTACAGTAGATGAACAATAAAGCAACACATAGCTCAGTGTTATCCACTTAGCTACTGTACATATTTGTTTTCTCCTTGCAAGGCAAGGGTTTGTGTCAAATCCACATTTCAGTCTCACACAGCAATGACAGAAGTTCTACAAAGAAACACACAAGGCAACTTGTATTAGGACCAGTGAGGATAGAAATGTTAATTTCACACAGCCTGGGCATGAAGATCCTCGCTTGCTTTCTAACCATCCTTGAACTGCAGCAGAACAGTGGCATTCCATCGGAGCTGCAGCAAATGGGTTCCTGAGGGTATAACCTGTTGGATACGTCTTAAATATATCGTAACCTTGCCCAGAATAATGGCGAATCAGCTACTGTTGTACCCCAAATATACACATATCTTCTAATTAAACTCTGGGATGCAGAGCCACTTCTGTAGGTTAAGGAATCTAAAAGTCTCCTAGTCTGAACTTTGAAGCTAATTCCACTATTTTACCCATTTAAAATACAATTATACTCCTCTTATTTACATTGTTAAACCATGAGTAAAACCTTTTGCCTAGAGAAGCAGGCCTGCTGTAAAAAGGTGTGAAACACTTGAACTGTATTACATACAGGGAGGTGGACAAAACAATGGAAACACCAAGCAATACAGTATATGAATATTTTTTTACAATAACTGCAAAGAGCTGAGTTGGCCTTCAGAACAGCTTCAGTCCATCCTAGAAGTCTGATATACAAGTTTGAACTGTTTCTAGTGGGATATTAGACCATTCTTCAAGAAGAAATGCCTCTAGTTCTTTGAGAATTGAAGGAAATCCACTGTACTCTCTAAATTCCAGAACATCCCATAAGAGTTCAGTGGTGTTTAGTTCTGGTGATTGGGAAGGCCTTGGAAGGTGTTTGACCTCATACAGGTGTTACTGAAACCATACTTGAGTCATTAAGGGGCATTTTCATCTTGAAATATGGGAACACCTTCATGAAACAATGTCTGCACCATAAGGTGGACCTAAAATGGCTTCATATTTCTTGGCCGTAATTCTCACATGCATAGTAATAACCGAACCCAATGAGTTACAGTAAGTGTCCATCTATCCCTGTCGGTGAACTTCGAACTTTGAAAACTATTCCTTTTTTCCGATGTCATTTACCTTTCTTTGGTGTATGCCACATCATGATCTTTGATACTGTTTCCCTTGACACAATAAATAGTTTTGCTATTTCTGTGACCGATGCACTTGCAATATGGGTGGCAACACTTTGACCTCTTTCAAAATCTCTTAAACCGCTCATATTGCTTTAGAAACGCACATATTGAAGTGGTGATGTCTTAAGATGTCTTAAAATCTTTTATCACGGAAACATACTGTATCTGTAATTAGTCATCAATATTTTGAAATGTATACGAAATACGAGTAAAATCCTATTTAATTGTGATTTTGTTGCTTCAAAATATGAGTCCTTTTTCGTTAGCTTGTGCCCCTTATCTCCAACTGCACCAATTCAGATAAGTGTAGAGAAAGGCCAACAAAAAAAGGTATTTCTCAAGGGAATGACCCAAGTCTTTAAAACGCATTGCTACTGTAACTTAAACCAGACACAAACCCCTTCACTAGGAGATAAAGACCTGTCCATTAGTCACTCTGCCATGTATCACATTCAATATTATCTAATAATCATAACATGAAGCTCAATTGAACAGAAAAACCCTAATGGAACTCAGCTTGATACAGTATATAATGAAGCATCAATATTACAATTTTAAAACAAATTCCAATGTACTGTATATTCTTTACAAACCAAGAGTGAAGTGTCCCAGGTATGGTACCAATTTCTGTTCTTGTGAGACAATAAGTGCTTATTTTACTTAAAAAGATGATTTTAGACTTTTAGATTTGCACAAGTCATCTTTTTTATAGACAATTATCTGAAATGCTAGAATGATGATAATTGCTTGCAATTCCATTGATAAACAGATATCATGTAGTGTTCCCTAAAGATACAGCTTGAAATCTGAAAGTATCAAATTTAGAAGAAACAGAAAGTTATTGATCATTCTTACTACACGGTGTTTTTACATCTTCAGAGCAAACAACAAGGACAGATAATACAGAGAAAGTCTACAAGAGAAAGATAATATTCCTCCCCAAAACATAAAAATACAAAGCACCACATTATTGAATTCATCTCTTGAACTATATTATTTTCAAAAATCCTGTGCTTGTCATAAGCAGGTATAATAATTATAAAAAATGATGACTGAACTTATGTCATGCACATGAAATGTGGAATATGTCTTCCAGTTGTTTTATCTAATTTACCGGGTGTCTATAAATAGTCTTTTTCATGACTAACTTTTGTCTTCAACAACCTCTTTAGCAAATCATTCATTGGCATCAGTTCAAAATAAAACTGGCTTATGTGCATTACATTAAGACTTGTATTTAATAAGGCAATCAAGACTCTTCATATTAAAGCCATCAGTAAACGCTAGCTAGTCATACCCTAAACTTTTCAGTGGTCTCTTTCTGAACTCTTCCAACAACAAATACTACTGTACCTGCTAAAAACTAAACTGACTTATGAATGAGGATTTACATTAGATTTGGTCATTTAGCCATTTTTGAACATTTGATTCTAGTACCTGATTAATCAAAGAATGCTATTCAAGTGAATAGGCCATCAAGACATAGCTTATTAGTTAAGTCTATTGTCTTTCAACTACTGTACATCTCTAGAAAAAGGATCTCACATTCACAATTTAGAACACCATCAATATTGCACTGCCAACTGAGTCTGTTGGCCACCAGTTTCTGAACTATGTGTAGTGAAGGGATTTGATTTTGAATTCATCTATTAAAACTTTCATATACATGTCAATTGAGTATTCTTCATCCTGGGCTTGTTTCGTTACTATTATAGCAATAAAAATGTGTTTTACTTTTCAAGGCAGAATGAAACAAATGACAGTGTCAAGAAGGCAAGCTTCACGTTCAC